GGGAGCCATCGACACACGCGACGGGAGCAACTGCAGACGTAACCGTACACACGGACTAAGCTCTCTAAAGGCTAGAGTTAGGCCTCATTGACTACTGGTTCACATGCATACATAGATCGTCAAGCCAAGCATTTATAGAAATTAACATACATTGTATTTAAATCAACTCCCACCTGTTCAGTTTTAGCAGATATAACACACGATCGGTTGTAGGTGGGTTGAGGCTCGACTCCTCAAACACCTACATTTTAGCGAGATAATATATCAATAATCTATCTAACTACTCAGAAAGAATTTAAAACCCACACTTTATCAAAATCAAGGGTTAAGGGTTTTAATCGAGCTTTTCGTGGACTTGGTACTCTCGAATTTTGAAAAGAAAAAGACTCGAGTCACGAGACTTAAAATAATTTCTCTCGTATTTTTCTCATTTCTATATAATTTTTAAAATTGGAATTGGTACGAAAAACAGGCTTCCGGAACACAAAAATGCCAAAAAGGGCACACTGTGCCGGCTGACTCGCGAGATAGGCCGCTGCTAGAAAAAAGGCCGCACATATGCACAACTGGGCCTCAAACAGGCTGGGAGCATGCGGGCTGGGATGGGCCGCTCACAGGCCAGGACTGAGGGAGAACGCGGGCTGGAGCGCGGGCTTCTGCCAACTGAGCGCTATGAGAGCATCGGGTTGAGCGCGGGCTGGCTGTAGGCCATACAGCCCGCGCGCATTCTTCTGCTCCTCCGCTGGGCTATGCGCCCTAATTGGTCCTTAGTGGGTTGAATAATAAATAACTAAAAAGAAATTTGGGCATACTGGGCTGTGGGTGACATTATCCTAAGTGGGTATGTTCATGAATTGAACAAAAAGGATGGCCCAGACCCCTGCCTATTCACTTCTGCGAACCAGAAAGAAAAATAAAACAGAGCATGAACGAGCAGAAGAAAAAAAATGCGAACAGTGGCTAAGCAACAAATTTCCGGCGTCAGCTTTCATCGACGATTCCGACTCCTCGGTAATCGGGTTCGATAAATTAAATTTTTTTGAAAAATAACACATTTTCAGAGTTTCAGAATTTTAGAAAAACTGGGTTTTTGGAGCGAAAAACGAAACGACATAATACGGCTCGAAAACAAACATTGACGACGGAAAGGCTCGAAACGACAAAACGGGACTCCGCACTTAACGAATTAATCACAACAAATCAAAGAGCTCGATTATATGAACGAGAGTCCCATAATTCCACGATAAAATTCGCGAATCATAATCCGACAAAAAAAAACGATTACACAAGCCAATAACCGACGAATAAACGAGCACGATATAATCAACGTATTATTAAAACACGTAGGAATAACTGAAGAGGGTTCAAAAGAATTTACGTCTTCGTGAATCTACGAGATCTCTGAAAAAGGGTTGGACGAACAGGCCAAACGATCGAACAAACGGGCCTCGAAACTCGAAACTGTCAAACGCAGGGACTAGACACAGTCGGCATTCGGACGGACAGATTCCTCACGACGAACGGCAGCCTAATCCGGGTAACGGACGGAGAAGGACAGGTTGTCGGAGATGTTTGCCAGAATTAATAGTGGACGGAGGCTGGAACTCTGTTCGGGATAACGGACGACGGATGTCTGTTGGCTAGCGGTTCGGACGTTCGGTGAGGATGGTGGTCGCCGGGAACTCGGTTGCAGGAGAACTCGCCAGAAACAATAGCGACGGCAAAGAATTCTTTTTTTTTAAATGCTGCGAGGAAGATGAGAGCAGAGAGTGAGGGTGATTTCGAGTGATTCTGATGAGGGGATGAAGATGGCTCTTGATCAGGTAGATATATACGGGATAGACGAGGAACGTGCAAGAAAATCCTTCGCCAAATTCGCAATAGGATTTCGAACGATACTAAAGGAAGGAGAAGGACTCGGTCTGCGCGTAGGAAAAGAAAGGGCAAAAAATTCAACTTCATTTGGGCCAAGGAATTAATACTCATGAATGGGCCAAGGAAAAATATGTCTCATTTGGGTTGGAAGATAAATCAACTTGGGCCAAAATTTAAACTTCCAAGCTTCAAATTTAAAAGCACCAAAATGGGTCGAATCGGATCGAAATTAATATTACGCGATAACCGAAAATAAGCAGAAAAAATTTAAAATTTATATCAAATAAATCCTAAAAATTCTAATACATATAAACAACAATTAAACACATAATAATCATATAATCAAGTCACAACAATTCTATAATAAGCAGATAAATGAGATGAGAAATTAATATCATAACCAGCAAATAAATAAAACAAGATAAATATTCAATATAAGCAAATAAATAATAATATAAAAATCTAAAAATTTTAATAAACAAACGGGGCACTACACATGATCATGACCTCTTGATAACTCGGGTATGGTGATGGCATTGTTTGTCCCACTTTTATTGCGTTTTTCGTCATTATTTTTCTTTTCTTTTTCCCCTATGTTAGGTCTTTTAGTTGGTTTTTAGTTCGTTTTCTAGTTTATTTCGTGGTTCGCTCTATTTTAGTCTTTCGTGTGTTTTCCGTGTATTTTTCCAGTTTTTCTTTGTTTATGGTGTGTAGGTCGGAAGCCTCAGGAGGACCGGATTTCAGGTGAAAGTTAGTCGGGCAAGCTTAATTAAATAGAGGAGTTCGTTGGGAACACACATGAAAAAAACGGGATTGAATTCCGAGTTGAAACGAACCAAAACGGACCCGAGAAGCAAACTCCAGCAGGCTGCCAGAGCCTTAGCGCCGCTAAGGCACATAGGATAGTGGTGCTGCACGGAACTGGCTCGAACGGCTAACATGCCTTAGCGGCGCTAAGGTCTGTTTTTCAACAGTCGCGATTTTGAGGGGTTTTGAATGGGAGTATGATATATTTCCGAACCTAGGACAGTTTCTATTCATTCCAGACTTGGTATTTTTCGTTTTTCACTTTCTCAAACTCAATTTTCACCTAGTTTTCATAGGATTTGATCTTGGATTGTGAAAACACAAAGATTAAGCTTTTGGATTTTGATTGCTCGTTGTTTCTTTCGACATTGGATTCGTATTTATCGTAAGCTTCTTTTTCATTTCATTAATGAATGTTATGGCTTTGCTTCATATGAATGTTGATGTTGAATTGATAATGAGTAGCTATATTCGTTAACTAGGGCTAGGGGATAATTGTTCCGGTTCGATTTCGTTTGTAAATGTTGATTACTCCAGCTATTCGAGTTGTGCTAATCCTAGGGTTGAATGACTGATCACCATTTTAATCCACTAAATCGATTCTTAGAACCGAAAGGGGAGGAATTGATCGACTTAGGCTCGCTTAGAGTAGACTTATTTGGAGACGTATTGTCTAAGTGCTAATTAATTCGATGATTGTTCGTTTATGTTTATTCTCTTGTTTCGTGAGTTATTGAGAATAAATCTCTGATGAGTAGTGTTTCGAATCCTCTAGCTGAGTAGTTGATTGCCTGTTAAATGCATTGAGAACCGGAAACGATTGTTCCCGACACCCTAGTCCTTTTGCAGTTATTTGAATCTTGTTTAAAGCTCTGAGTTCGAAATTGTCGTGTTTGAGAATCAATCGTTGTTAATCGCATAGTTGATAATCAAAACTATTCATTTGAATTAGAGTGTTTAGGATTATTTTCTCTTTTCGTGTGATTGAATAATCGTGCAAATTAATCCGGCCAACCTTTCTTGAGACACGACCCGGTGTTCGAATCTTTCGATTTTACTCCGGTAAAAATAACTACAACAGACATCTTGGTAACTCGAGTATAGTGATGACCTAAAGACAAGTAGGTAGATGGTCCTACTAGAGACCTAAGTGAAAGACCTACCGGAGACCTAAGTGAGGGACCTACGGGTGACCTAAGTGAGGGACCAACGAGAGATCAAAGTGAGGGACCTACCGAAGACCTAAAAGTGAGAGACCTACTGAAGACCTGAATGAGGGACCTTCCAGAGACCTAAGTGAGGGACCTACGAGAGACCTAAGTGAGAGACCTACTGGAGACCTAAGTGAGGGACCTACTGAAGACCTAAGTGAGGGACCAACTGGAGAACTAAGTGAAGACCTACTGGAGACCTAAGTGAGGAACCTACTGGTGACCTAAGCGAGGGACTTACTAGAGACCTAAGCGAGGGACCTACTGGAGATGTAAGCAAAGGACCTACTGGAAACCTAAGTGAGGGATGTACCGAAGACATAAGTGAGAGACCTATTGAAGACCTAAGTGAGGGACCTACTGAAGAACTAAGTGAGACACCTACTGGAGACCTAAGTGAGGGACCTACTGGTGACCTAAGTGAGAGACTTAGTGGAGACCAAAACGAGGAACTGACTGGAAACCTAAGTGATGGAAATACTGAAGATTAAGTGTTCCACTCCTTTTTTATTTTTCAATTCAAAAATATTTCTTAGACCATACCACTAAAGTCTTGTTTTAGTAGAGGCTCCCACACTTTGGGACTCTATCCGCTTTATATATATAATTTTCGAATGCGTTGAGTTTAAGCGACAGGCTCACACGCTTGATATCTTATGTGGCAAATAATTTTTATGCTTTGTTGGTTGGTTTGGATGAATTTAATTTATTTTCAATCAATATGTAACTATGCTTAGAATATCCATAAATAGACTGGATATTGTCCTTTTTAAGAGCATTAATCATGTTTTGATATCATTTCTATTGTAGACGCGGTTTGCAAGTTATAATTTTTTCCCGTCTTCCTTTTTTCATTATATTTCTTCAAAAGTATAACAAATTTACTAACTTAAATTATAAATATATTTAAAAGTTAATATATTTTTTATTTATTAACAATTTTTACATGTAATATTAAATTAGTCATGTATTGATAAACTTCGATTTGACATCTATATTATGCATACTGTTGATAATCAACCTGACAAGTTGGACTTAAGGATCTTAAGTAAGTTCATCTACCAAATTCAAATTCAAACTAATTACAGATTAAACTCCAGAGTAAGAATGAGCTCGGCTCAGCCTGGACAGGGAACCGACTTCACAACTGGTGTGGCAACGGACTTCTTAGAAACCAAGGTTCCATTCCGAGACCGAGATCAAAAGTAGGTGGCAAGGCGTCGACGTGTCCAACTGCCCAAACTGCCCATCGCACATGCCCCAATTATTACCTGCGGGCCCACTTGAAGAATAACCGCCTTCATAAAGCGGCTTTGTATTAAATGTTGTCGTTCCCACCTCGAACATCGAGCTAAAAAGTTATTATAAATAGGAGAATTAACTCCTCTACGAGGATCTTTTTCCAGACACTAAAGACTCATATGTAAAATCAGCTCGGTTCATGCAAAAGCCGACTTCTTGTAATTGTTCCATCTTACGATAATACGACCATCACTACACTCTATACCGTTTTACATCCTTAATTACACGTTATTATCATTGTTAATTCTCATATAACAACAATTTGACGCTAGAAGGAGGGCTCCATAAGATATTTGGAGTTAATCTTCGATTCAATATACGTGTGTCTTATATATCACTCTTGTATACTCCTAGCAAGAAAACATGTTGCAATCAGGACAACAAGAACAGGCATCAAGGCCTGGCAACAGCCAGGGCGCCAGTCCGCCGGAAGAACCAACATGATGCCGGCGATACCTGACTTTGCTGCTTTGTTCCAAAACCCAGAGTTTGTGAAGGGTTTCTCCACCCTCATGGCTCAAACCTTGCCAGGAATCTCCTTGCTTGCTCTTGGACAATCAATTGCTACAGTAATGACGGTGAGATCTACCAAGACTTGGCCCGAAATCATGACGAAATCATGACGAGCCCAAGTCCCCTGCCTTCAATGCCAGCCTTCAGGGGATGATCCCCAAAGTCCTCAACGAGATTCGCTTCTTCCCGAGCTACGCTCACCATGTGACGATCAGCGACAATTGCGGAGAAATGCTTCGCGATGTGTACTAAATCCCAACGGGCTAAGTCAACGTTATCATTAATGGGGTGGACAGGCAGGGGTTTGGGCCCGATCCCAATTCGGGCCGGGCCTTCCGGAAGAAATCCGGCATCCCGAGGAATGCACGCCTCGTGCTAGGCGTGGCCGGGCTGCTCGTCAAGGATAAAGGCCACCCTTTGCTATATGAGGCTTTTTCCGCTCTTCAGGCCGAAAGACCCGACGTGTATTTGATCGTGGCTGGGTCCGAGCCTTGGCATCTTAGGTATAAGGAGTTGGGCCCGCAAGTTATAGTCAAGGGCTCGATGGGCCCAGATGGGCTTAAGGGGTTTTATAATGCGATCGATGTGTTTGTAAAATCCAAAGTTCGAGTTCGTTTGTGATAGAAAAATTTAGGACTTAAATTTCTTAAAGATGTTTAATTAACTCAAAATTTGTTCGTTCGAACTCGAAAATAAAAAAATAAAATAAAAATATTTTTATATTTTAGTTTTTTTTATTAAAAACATCATGTAAATATATAAAAAATAAAATAAAATTATATTAAATTAATGTTCGCGAACATTATCGAACGTTCACGAACAAGCTCGTGTTCATTCGATTATTAAACGAGCTTAATTTTTTGTTCGAAAACTCGGCTCGATAAACAAACAAACGAACTTTTGTCGAACACGAACGAGCTTGAATGAGCTTTTGTTCGCGAATCTTTAACAGCCCTACATTTAACTACCCACTCTTTTTGAAATTTAATCTTGCTTTATTTGGTGTGCGTGGGTCTCTTGTGACTGGATGTTAACTAAGATCCTATTGTTCCTTTTATTGATCATGAGAATGAAAATCCAGCTTGGTAGTTCTAACGGTGAAGTTGTTACCTTTACCAGAATCTCACTATGGGGTTTACATATTTTCTATTCGAATCCGAATACCATTTCCAATGCATTCAATATCTTTCTTTGAATATCATGGTTATAAGAAAAGATCCAAAAGTTTGCAGGAAGAAGCAACAACCCAATTCCCACGAGGCGGATGATACTTACGTTAATGAAACTGGTCACGTTCAAGAATATATATAACCAGGTAACATGAAGTTTTGGTTAATTCCACTCAGGTTTAGTCTTGATTACTTGTAACCTGACGATTATCATCCAATGTTACAAATATAACCCTCTGTCGTTATACAAATAACACAGGACATTCCAGCTCAAAACGGATCAGGGTTCGCCCAAATTCGAACATTACCAAAACTCGAGGGATGTTGACTTGAAGGACCAAAACGCAACTCGTAAGTCGCATCTCCCTCCGGATCTCTTTCATTAATGTAGATCTTACAATCATTACTCAAGAGTTTACAATGCAGACTCCGTCTACAATATATACTTGATGTAACTACTTACACAACTACTCATCCGACCACTATTCCCTTGTGGTTTTTCTAGTTTGACTCCCTCAAATTAATCTGAGTGAACCTCCGAACACTCAGTTTGGAATAAAAACCATTTAATCAACGTGATCGAGGACAGCCTCTCGATTCACCAAATCAATAAAATGAAAAACAAAAACTCTAGAGATTAAATCTAACTATTGAACACTCTCCAAGAATAATCAAATAATCAATCTTCAAGTCTATTTCTTCAGCCACGTCCCCGTGCTTATATCCCCACTCATATGGTAAGTCAAACATGTCTTCGACACAAGTCACGGTTCATAAGAAAAGTTCTTTATTAATTCTGCCGCCTCTAATTTTGGAATGTCTCACACATGTGGTGGAATCTTCTTTACAAGGAAAGTGCATCTGGAATGCCTTTTATTAATCCTAGATAAATAATAAAAGTATTAGTTAATTTCAATTAACTAATATTTGAGAAACTAGTCTAAGTAATATAAAGCAAACTTCCCTTAAAATTTCCTGCACAACATATTTCTTGAGACAGTTGAAGGTTCGTCGATTTACTGACAATCTTTAAAATCTTACACTTAGAAACTTTGGGGATTCAAGATGTTGAAAACCTCCATGTAATTCTGGTACAACGTTCGAGGACGACATTTCTAGGGTTTACACACAAAAAGTTGATTAAGGAGAAACTGAAAAAAAAATATATAAAAACAGGTGTAAGAGGCCAATCTACGACTAAAATACGACAGAATCCTCGATTGACCGAGTTGTTCACACAATTCTTTACATATTTGTCGCCTATGTGTTGCATAGTTTTCGCTTAATTTTTACGCACTTCCTCAATTAACATATCTGTCACATATTTCATCGTATACTAAAATTGCACTTGCTCAATTATTTTTGCATTTTTGTCGCATAGTTGATCATACAATGATTTCGCACTTGTTAAATTATCTTCTCTTGTCTGTCGCATAATAAGATCGCACTTGCTCAATTAACTTTGCCTGTATGTCGCATAGTTTATCGCATGAGTATTTCACACTTGCTCAATTAACTTCGTTATGTCAGTCGCATAGTTTAACGCATAATTATTTGCATTTGCTGAATTAACTTCGCCTGCCTGCTGCATAGTTTATCGCCTAATGAGATCACACTTGCTCGATTATATTCGTTTGTTATCGCATAGTTTATCACATAAGTAATTCACACTTGTTCAATTAATTTCATTGTCTGTTGCATACTTTATCATATAATTATTTCACACTTTATTAATTATCTTTGCATGACTTTAATATTTCTCAGTTTACAGATAATCTTTGCCTCTCTCTCATTTTATCAACGTCAAACAGTTTATCACATAAATATCTGGAATTTTATCAATTATTTCGTCATATTATTTATCAAACAAGTATTTTTCACTCTCTTAATTACCCAGAAATTCTATGGCGCCCATATGGGCACCATATGGTGCCATAATCTCACGATCCAACGCTTAATATCCATTCTATCAATTCCACAATGAATATTAGGCGTTAGATCGTGAAGCTCAATTACCTGTGCGTCTCACATAATATTCACTTCTCTGTTTCATAATTTATCTCGCATAATTTGTTTGGCGAATAAAAAAGTGCACTAATTTTTGGCCGGGTAGCATGTGAAACTGAAATAGCTATTTCCTCCTACCACGAAACCCTAATTTTACACTTCACTTTGCAATAATCAGAAATAAAGATATATCTTCTCTCTCAATCTCTCTTCTGAAACTCGATTCTTTAATTCTTTGATGGTTGATCTTCAACATTTATCAGTCCCATCCACAACCTCAGCAAGTGGCCCAAAGATTTCCATGTTTGCAAAGAAATCTGGATTTGTCATCCCAAAAAATAAGCTATCAGGTTCTCTGGTTCCTATACATCGAGGAACTAAAAATGGCGATGCTGAATTGGTGAGAGAGGAAGCTACTAATCAGGTGGCCAGGAAAACCAAATGGGGACCTGATTTAACTCTAGATACCTGTGTTCGGAAAGGGAGGGCCTTGGCGTATCAGGTATACATTTTAATTTTATTGTCTTGAGGTTGTTGTGTATGTATGATCTCTTCATTTTATCAACAAGTATATACTTTTCAGAAACTGCCCTTGTAAGTAGGATATGGTTAATAGGATTAGTTGGTGCCTAGTGGTTTTTCTAGCTTCGAATATGTCAGTCAGTCAGTGGACTTCAATTTGCTCCGCCCAATTCAAGAATTTCCTTTTTCACATTAGTTGTAAAGATATCACCCTCTCTTTGTATGTGTGTGTGTGTGTGTGTGTGTAACTCACATTAAATTCACATCTAAGGTGTCTGTTTTGGCTTTTTGTTGGTTATGAATTTTGGACAGACTCGGATCAACCAAATATCAGAACAACTGACCCTAGGGACAACGGAACTTGAAAGGCATTGCGACTCATTATCTATGTCAGACCATCAGTTTAGCAAAGAGGTAAGCTGACTTTTCCGGATGTTTTGGGTTTGGTTATATATTCTTTACCTTAAATGGTATTTATACTATGCCATGTGAATTGTTTAGGAATCAGATTTGCTGGAACTTGAAAGGCGTGAAATAATTGGTAAGAAGAAAAAACTATAATTTCCTATGATATTTCTTCAATCATTGGCTCCTTTTTCTATTTTTTGTTTTTAATATATTAAAATCTATTTTCAGGTGAAGTACTAAAGTTAAACCCAGCATATAAGGCTCCTGCTGATTACAAACCTCTGCTAAAAGAAGCGAAAGTTCCAATTCCTGTGAGTGGATGTTTGTGCTTGTATTTTATTTTCTTTTGTCATATTGTAGCTTTTGATCATACTGAAAGCATGGATACTGCAAAGTACCAAATGTTCCATTGCTTGATCTTTGATGCAAGGGTCTCTTTATGTCTTATTAAGTGGCATTGAGTATCTTTCTTCTTACTGGCAATCTTCCTAGTTTCTCTATGAGACATGCCTATGACAGTGCACTTTGGAGATGTAATTTTCTTACTACTAATGACGAACCTCGTCCCAGAATGACATAGTTATGGAGATTTGCATTTGGCGTTGTAATATTATGTAAAAGACTATTTACTTCTTATTAAAGGGTGTTGTAATTGTTGATACAGGGTTCGGTCCCTGTAACTCACAATCACAATTTCATAGAAATTTAGGCTCCCCTCCCCGCCAGCTCCCTATAACTATTTAAAAGAAAGAGACTATTTACTTCTTAACTTTTGGATATTTTATTATGTGTATTCATCACCAGAAAGTTATCATCTTCTTAATGTTGCTTCACTTATGAGTCGAATATCATCACTGAAAAAAGTAAAACGGATGTGCTCGTATTTCACCTCAACCTCGTGTATTTTGAGAACTTTGACTTGAAAAGTTGACAGGTCACTACTGATGATGTCTACAAAAAATAATTTACTATCATTAGAAATGAATATCCGAATCACGGGTTATAGAAAATTAATGCATTCCAGGCAGGGTTCATTAATAAAGTAATTAAGTTCTTTCTTTAGGCCAGTTATGGTGATTATGTAGTCCTTACAAGTAGTCAAGGACCAGTTTACTGTTGATCTCATAGAAAGGATGCAAACATATGTCTCTTGTTTGATGACATGTATGCTACAGATTTAACAATGTGGTATGTTCTATACTTACTGGTTCAGGTTTCCCAAGATCAATTTCAACAAGTAAAATAAACCCAGTGTAGGGACATTAGAACTTTCCCGTAAATGAGAATGTAACAGTTTTATGTTAAATAAAATGAAATGATAAATTTCTGAATGTCGCCTTTTAAAATTTGTCTATGCAGATAAAAGAGCATCCTGGGTACAATTTCATTGGCTTGGTATTTGGTCCTGCTAATGATACTCAAAAGAGACTGGAAAAGGTATTTACTTCTTGCTGTCCTGCTGTGCTGACGTGGTGTGGATGATCTTGTTATGTTCATCAATATAACTAATCAAAATTACAAAGTATGTCCCAAGTGATTTTTTTTTTCTTTTTTTTTTTTTGAATCAGGAAACAGGAGCTAAAATACAAGTTTATGGGATAAAATCAGATGCGAGAGGGAAGGTAATAGAAACTTGGAATGAGTCATTTGTTTTACGGTGCCTTCAGTCTTTATTTACTGAGTAGCATGAAATCTAACTAATTCCTTTCCTATATCGTTTTCAGGTCGAGATTACTCCTACTGATGGAAAAGAAATCGACAATGTGTACCAGGATCTCTATGTACAGGTGTCAGCCGACACATTCGAAAAAATTGATGCAGCTGTGGCTTTGATTGAACTGTTACTCACAACAGTTTCGGTAATTTCTCTGTCAATACAATATAAACAATGCAGCAACTATATAACTTAATTTCTTAAAAAAATAATAAAAAAAAATACTGCCTTGATAATTAACCTAATCACAAAAATAAAATAAAATAAAATAAAATAAAATAAAATAAAATAAAATAAAATAGAAACACCCTCCTGAAGGATTTAATTTTTCTTCCCCAGCTGAGGGCTCATTTTGTAAACTACAAAGAAGTATCAAAGGGTGTGTGCAATTTTGAAGGATAATTGGGGAATGAATTAATAATTGTGTCAAAAATTGAGGATTTTATTTGTAAATTAACTTTGCTTTGTGGTCGTGCTCATGTTAATCCGATATCGGCTTTGTATTAGGTGAATCCCGTGCCATCTTCGACTACACCGACCTCAGTTCCCGACACTATGAATACAAATCAGAAAATTCCCTCCCCTATCATATCACCTGCATCAACAAACCAAGGAACAACTCAGCCACCACCTCCACAAGTACAATTACCACAATACCCTCAACAATGGATTCCTCCAAATCAAGCTCCCTTAATCAGCAACATTACTCACACAGCAACCATGCCTTCGCAATTCGCGATCCGACCAGCCATAGCATCAAGTTTTAGTCCCGTCATGCAAAACCCTTCTGCTTTTCCTTCCAGACCTCAGACAGCTGTACAGCCACCGTATATGCCTCTCGGCCAAACAGAAGGGCCTAGAAATAATATTCCTGGGCCATCCCTATCTGGGCCTAGAAATATTCCTACTGGGCCACAGTTTGGCCCGCCCCAGCCCGAAACTATACACTTTAGAATTCAACCCTCTGTGGCCCAACCGATTCGTCCTGGAGGTCAGCCTATGCAATTCATATTATTGATTTCATTTTTCTATTATTATATCTTTTCAACCAAAAAGTAGTATGAAATATTAAATATAAATATTAGAATATTAAATGTATTTTTTTATAGTATAAATAACAAATCATTTAGATTAATATAGGTTACTTCGGTTAACCAATCAAATTTCGGTTTTAGTTTGGGTTGAAACAAATCATTAAAAATGTATGCGATGTGAGTGCACAATATAATGCTAGACGAATTGCACATTAATGACTATGAATCGAAACCAATCGAGATAAAAATTCAGTTCTATTATCTATTTCTATTTCAAAATCTCGGTTATCGCGCTTGCATTTTGGCTAAATTGTGAATTTTTATATGTGTAAACAGCTTTCCCTCAATCTTCAGCACCAAATTCTATCTTCAGAGATTCTCAGAGTTTTGATACTGTAAAACCTAGTCCGAGTTCTGGCGATTTCACTTTTCAGCCCCACAATCGGCCGCCAAATGCAGCTTCTCAGGTTTGGCAAAGCAATTTGAGGCCAGAGATGGGTAATTTGAACCCCTCGTTTGTTCAGAGCTTCCGTGGGCGTCAGATTAATCATCCGAGGGCTCAGATTGAAATGAACTTTGCTGTAAATAGGGCTGCGCCTCATCAATCTACTCACCTGATGATGCCTACAGCTTCACATATGCAACCGAGGAATTTTATCAATCAGCCCCACATGAATAACAGGCCTGGACCTTTTCCAATGAGACCGATGCAGATTTTGGAAAATCCGGTCAGGCCACAACATAGGTTTTCTTCAAGTCCATATCAGCATTTTGGGAGCCAACATGGAAGACCGTTTTCTGGGTCATCTGGTGGCCAGCAAGTGTATGATCCTTTCTCTCCTACTTCGGTGCCGCCTTTTAATATTCCTCAAATGCGTGGTAATATGAGGGGACACGGTGAGAGTGATCCAGAGTATGAGGACCTCATGGCTTCTGTTGGTGTTCAATGAAAATATGTAGAGAATAAATGAGTGCTGTTAATTTTTTGAAATTCGCATGTGTTGTTGTTCCCAAGTGATTTTTAGGCGGTGTTTGTTGAGGTGTGTACTATCTTGGGTTAGTGAAATGTAGATAGGATTTTTTCTCAGCGTGTTGAGCCTTGATGGCAGGTAAAGAGTATGCTTCTTGATTAGTATTGTAATACCTCGGTGTTTCTGCTAAACTTGGTAATGTCTCAGCTGATTCCAGCTCTTTTATCATGTTGAACACATAGATTGATCATTTGCTTACCGGGGTTACTGAGCTGATTCTAGTTATTTAATCAAATTGCACACATATTTTCAAATCAAGATGAATTTTTTTATCATAAAATTCTAAGAGCATCCGTAATGCTTTGAGTTTAATCACAAAAATTGTATGCCACATAAGATATAGACATAGTCTAAAAAAATGTATTTTCCAATGCAACAATAGTAGACTAGGTCTTGGTGATGTGATAGCCAGAAAAAGAGATCCGGTCTACCCTTGGCTATGTTTGGTTCAACTGAGGGGAGGGGAGGGGAGGGGAGGGGAGGGGAGAGATTTTAATGGAAGGAAGGGGAGGGAAGGGGAGGTGAAGTAAAATAATTTTACCTTGTTTGGAGGGGTTTTGTAGGAGGGGAGTGGAGGGAAAATGGTAAACCTTGTTTGGTTAGAATAAGGGAGGGGAAAAAAAATATTGTAGAAATGACAATTATATCCTTAATGATGTAAGAAACAAAATAATAAAATAATTTACATATAAAAGATAATATAGTAATTGTATGTGATAAATTTTCTCTCCCCTCCAAATTCCTCCACTTTTGGAGAGATTTTCCCTTGGAGGAGGGATTTGAAGGGAAAATATCAATCCCTCCCCCCACACAAAAAATTGAACCAAACAAGGGAAAATTATAAAATTCCCTCCCCTCCCTTCCCCTCCCCTCACTTATTTTAAACCAAGTAGAGGTCTAGTCTCTTTGCATTGAAGTGGATTTTATCAATTTTACATAGTTTTATCCATGTCATTCAAGACTTGGGTAATTTACATGCAACATAGACAAGACTAGACCCAATACATTGTAGATACTCTAAGGTTGTCATCTTATAAATAGGTTTTTGACATATATATTACTTCTATTTTCATCTCTTGGTTATGATTTGACTTTGTTGCAGCAATAATATGATGATGCACATAAGTAGATGTATTATGTTACGAAAGCCTCTAAGAAAGTTTTTTCATGGGGCAGTTGCGAATTTGATATTTTTAAGGCTGTTACTATTCATAACACCCTCTATTACTACGTACTGGCCTTATTTGGACCGTTTTGTTCTTGACATTTTTTTTTTAAAACTCAAAAATTGTGAATTCTCTTATATTACGGCGGAAATGAGCGACGATGAGGTACGGAAAATTTGCCGGCCGGCGATTGTGGCCACGCACGCTGGCGGTCAGTCGATTTGGCTGGCCACCCACATGGTCGGCCGCAATCGCCGTGGTAGGCCGGCCAAGTCGGCCGACCGCCACCCTGCGTGGCCGCAATCGCCGGCCGACCGACCACGATTCGGTCGAGATCGCGGCCCGGCCGCACCAATTTTTTCTTTTAATAATCAAATTTTTATTTATTATAGAAATTATGTTAGAATTTCGATATTATTATGTTATAAATTACAATTTATAACTTATTATGTTAGAACTTAGAAATTATTATGTTACAAAATTAGAATTTATTATCTTATAGAATTTATTATTATGTTAGAACTTAGAAATTATTATGTGATAAATTAGAAATGATTATCTTATAGAATTTATTATTATTATGTTAGAACTTAGAAATTATTACATTATAAATTAGAGTTTATTGTCTCATTGAAAATGAAATGTCGGAACATGATCAAAATACTTTTAAATGTGTGAATGAAGCTATCACATTTGGATAGAAATATTTACAATTTTCATTGGTGTATTGTGCTTGAACATATGTGTAATTACTCTAGAATATATGCTTTCATGCAATGTGGGATGATTTCAAAAATTAATTTAGCTTTCATGTAATGTGTGATGACTTAAAAAAATAATTTAGCGTCTCGGGAGAAGTATATATATAACCAATATTTTGAAAGATCCACTTTTATTTGGAGATAAAACTCATTCTCACCTCGTGGGGCGATATCTCCATGGGGTAAGTGTCAATTTGTCTGTATGGAGAGAGAATAATGTGGTAGTTTAAAAAACAATAAAAAAATATCAGCAATTTTAATGTCACGGTTGATTATTTCACAGAGATATTCATGAACTGTTATTAGCAATACCTTATAAAGATCACAATCATGGAGTTTTACTAGATGTTTGGACAAAATATTTCGCATTGTTTGAATTAAATAAACTTTTTGCCTAATGGATTAAGAAGAACTTTTACTATTGATGTATTGAACTCAAACGGGTATGAATGCTTTTATGAGAACATAAAAAATGAAATAAAAAAATTCAATCTTGAATCATCAAACATAAATAAATAAAAGCACTAATGCATTTATAATATACATTATGTCCTTATTTAATTATTTAGTGTCTTTTTTTTTTTTAAAAAAAAAATTATGGACTCATTTTTCATGTATTTTTGTTGGGGTTGTAATATGTTATTTTATTCTTTTGATATTAGTACATCATTATGATATTTTTGAAAAAAAAAAATCATTATGAGATCATTTGTTTTACATTTTATATTCTTGCAATGATATATTTAATAAATTAATTAATTTATTTTATTAAACTTAATCGGTAAAAAATATTTGCTCATCACGTGCGATACACGTGCACTTTACTAGTTATTTAAAAAGACGTTTAGAAAGGATATTCATGTTGAATAAAGCTGGTCACGCGTAATGATTCATTTTGATAATCAATTTGTAATGTAAGAATAACATACAATTTGTAGTGATTCAGAGACCTAATACATGAGACAAATAATAAGTGATATTATATCGATTGACTTCTTGAAGTTAAAAGATAACCTAGCTACCTGCAGGTTCATTAACGAAAAAATCAACTGCGATCAATTGTAAAGCCTTATTATGGTTATGAGATTAAATTTCATAACAAATGAACAATTTACTGATAACTCAACTATGAGAATTCGGAGATTCGAAACTCTAATTCAATGGGGAAAGTTAAGGTTCGACATCTTAGTGAAACACTTGAAAATACACCGATGGAGTAAGGGGAATACTATTTGGAAGATCACAGTATATATGGGTGAAAGGTAAGAGGTGTACGTTTATAAACATATACACTTCATGAATCTTAATTAATACAGTACTTGAGTCTTAATTAATTGCCAATAATGTAGTTATATATATAGATTCATGAAGTGTATATGTTTATAAACGTACGCCTCTTACCTTATATATATATATATATATAGAAGTGTACTCAAATGAAAAAGGAGCCCAGGAGAGAAATGATAAATAATATAGACGCTTAGATTAGATGTTTCAACGATCAGGATTTGACATATTAAATGAAAATTCGCGGTGGCATTTCAGTAATTATGATGAACTGTATGGACAATTATTCGTGGGCAAAGGGCACATGCGAGATTTCACTTATAGGTAGGGTATTGAATGACCGTAACTTCCAGACATATTCATTGCGCATTGAAGGTGCGACTCCTCATTGAGCTGAGGAGTATACGTTGGGCGGGCGACGGTGGTAAGAAGAAAAAAAAATTGAATCACTTTCTTTCACGAGCAATACGTTCGATGATTCTGAGCTTTTGCTAATTTTTGTTCAATTTTCAGAGATTAGAGTTGTTGGTCAAGAAATTTGATACAAACTTCGTTCACTGCGTTCGAAGTAAAAATCGTAATGGGTAACTCTCCCAAATCGAAGAAATCAGTTAATGAATTGTGTTTTTCACTTTTTCTTGACTATTTTGAAGCATCTTGCAGTCTAATGTTTAGTGGTTTTTAGGCAAAATATTATGTTTTAGGTTTATGTGTATTGAAATTTAAGGGTACAAGATTTCGGTGATTATATAGTATTTTGTTTTGTTTCATTCATCTTAATTCCGTTATAAGGTTTTTGTGCAATTGTACAGGCACTTGTATTCTTTATGTAGCATTTTACAGAGACATCGTGAATTATGTGTTTTGAATACTGTTTTTGAATCCTTATTTGTTTTTTATTGCTCCAGCTTCGAGTTATTTGTATATGATGATGTTCATATAATGTATTTTTGTTGTGCTGGTATAATACATTCAACAGACGATTAACACGTTCTGATATGAACTTCTATTTTTCATGTACCGATGTTGTTTATACAGGGAAACCTGACAATGAGGATAGTGTATCCGATAAACCTCTTATTGCTTGGAAATGTATGTGTTGGTGTTAAATTACCCCTTCTTTT